AGAAAGAAGGAAGATGCATCTACTGAAATTTGTTAGGAATTGGATCTCTGCTGCTGTTGATTCCTTTGAAAAAGTCCTTACAAAATTACAAGAGACCAAAGTTCATCATCATAATTTTTAAAAAGTTATTTTCTGAATAAGACTTTTTTTTTTTTTCCGTTGAGATTGGATAATAGTATTACTGCCTTTTTATTATTATTTACTTCTGGATTTATAACTTAAGTTTAAATCTGCCATTCAAAGTTGTTTGTTGCTTCTGGGTTTATAAATAGCAAGAGCATACCAGGATGTTAAGAGAAGGTTGCCTCCTGTTTATCTACTTCCATATATTTTTTAGGGAATAAATAGTGCACAGGTCAGCATATTTTGTTTTTAACAATTTGGGGTTTTATATAAATGTGTTTATATGGAGGAAGAGAAAGTACAAGATTCCTTTATCCTCACAGTAGTGTTTAGGGACATATTTAGTTCATCCACTGAAACAAATTCAAAATATCATTAGCCTATATCAGGATAGTTTTAGTATTCTGGTGTCTGCTGGATATGTCACAAATGCTACTATAAAGGCACAACATTTTAGAGACTACCGAATATCTCTTTCTGAAAAAGAAGAGGATAGTGCTTATTATGCTGCCTAATTTAAAGATATTTGTCTCAGTTCTGAAGCTGTACAGATACACATCTGATATCATTACTCAGCTCCTAATGTGTAAAAAGATGGATCAAGACTATGGTGATAAAATGCCTTAGATGAAATTCTGCATCTTTTAAATTTTTCTGGTGCCTTTCTTCCAGAACCCACTTTTGATTGTATCATCCTCTTATAAAGCATCTTGTAGTTCAGGTGTATCATCATTGGTGCAATATTTTTGTTGATAGTATTGTTCCCTGACATTATACCTGACCATTGAAAAACATTTTGTGGTCTCTCTGCATTTTTAATTTTTTTTTCAACTTTGAATGAGAATGTGAGGCAGTGAATAAATACAATAAATACATAAATATAGCACTCTTGCTGCTTATATGGATCAATAAAACAATGGGCCTTCTTTCATTTATATTAATGATGTTTTTGTCTTCCTCTGGGAAACTGGAAAAAAGATTTTACTTGAATTTATAGATGAAGAAAGAATATTTACTCCTGTGCTTCTGATTACTATGCATCTACTAACCAGATCAATAGCAGAATTTAGTAATGTTAGTCTGATTTAAAGTATATGGAATATAGTAATAAATCATCACAGTTTTTTCCCTGAAGTGTTTATTCTTATGATCAACAGACTAAAATCTAGAATTACCCTAAGGTTTTACTCTAATGTTAAACTGATTCAAGGATGCCACCTACCTTTGGTTTGCCATTTAAAACTTTTTCAGAGAAATTAACACAGAGACTGTTAGATGACTTGTAAAATTAGAAATTTTGAAAAGTCTATTAAAATGTTTTGAGTTATTTACTCATCCTACCTAAATTTCAGTTTTTATTTTGCAAGGCTCCAGCACACTCAGCTTTTAACGCTGGTATCATCAAACACCTTTTCGGTATTCTAAAGGGAATAGTCAATATAATAAGCACAACAAATCCAGACTGTCTTTGAATGTGATCAAACTAAATTTGGCGTCGTAAAACAAGGACTCTGAAAACATATCACAAAGTTATCACTTATTTTCTTGCTTGTTGGAGTATTTGCAAGGATTTCAAGTACATTTTGTAGTGTTCATTGTGTGTGTACTTTGCGTGTCAAGGTAAACAGCAAAAGATTAATTTCCAAAAAATAGACCTTTTTTTACAGTTGCAATATGTAAATGGTTGTACTGTACCTATGTAGCAAATTGGTTTTCTGACTCTTGCATGTTTTATATTGACAGCTTTGCTCTTGCTCCATTTGTTCAAATTCCCCTAAAACTAAGTGTCTTCAATATCAGTTGAAAAACATATTCATTAAATGAATGGCAAGTTTACTTTACCAACTCCAAAGTTTGCGCTGTAAATCATCTTGGTTTTGATATGTGAAACTTGAGTTAAACTGGGTTGTGTATTAACTGTCACATACAGCTTGCTTACCTTTTAATTACCTGGAGTTATGAAGTACTTCATTGATACTATAGAGTAGTTATTCGTATTGATACTACATAGTAGCTACTATAGATAAGCTATTAGTAGTTGGATTTAATCCTCTTCCATCAGGGCTATGCCTGGAAAACAAAATTATTTACTGTCTCAAGGAATAATATTTAATTTTTTGCTATACATAAAATATGATCCTATTTGGTGATTGCTGTTTCTGGCTCTGATTTACTGCTGTCAGTTTTGCACAAAGTCGCAGCATTCTCTAATTTTCAGTTGACTTAGAAACTTCTAAGAAGAAATCATGGTAATAGAACTACAAGAATGAGATTGTCACATGTTAATATTCCAGATTTTTTTATAGTCAGTTGCTATAGCATATTTCCTTTCTAATATATTCAAAATTGTTGAAGTTATTAATAACATCATTGCTACTTCTTTCTCAAAAATGTGACTGTTTCACAGAATATGATACAAGACAGATATAGACTAATCTATGGATGTGTGGCTTTATGGAACTACACTTTTCAATGTCATACCTATCCCATTATCACAGTTTTAGGTGGGTTACAAAGAGAGCGAGCCAGAAATCTTGTAAAAAACCATCTTTTTACTGAAAAATATTAATGGAGAAAAACCAGTAGGAAACTTTTTCTTTTTCATGTGCATTTATTTTGATTAAAAATCAAAAAGCATTCTTTATCTCAGAAAATAATTTCAGAGTGCAGGAAGAGGAAAGATTATATCAGAACAGGCAGATCACAGCAAAATCATAAATAATTTGGGAATTCACTAGAGAGCAGTGGAAAAATTTAAGCAGACAGTTATGATTTAAACAAAAAAACCAAATTTATTTATTTTTTCACGTTTCACAGTATTCCCTAATGAGTCAGATATTTTCATGAAGTTCTGTTACTTTTTTATTTTTGAGCATTGTTAAAAAAGTGTGAAAAAGATCTTACATTTCTCCAGTGAAATGAAGATATTTTTTGTCAATCCTAATTTAAAAAAAGGTATCTTAAAATGGACATTGTCCTTATCCTCTATCTTCTCCTTTCTCATGAAATGCACATAGCATGGGTTGTCATTGATTGTGCTAACAAAATCTGTTTTAGCTTTCTGACACAGCTTATAAAGACAAGTTCTTCAACTACAAAAAGACAGATGCTTTGTATCAATTTAGTGGTACTCAACTAAAATAAAATATCTGTAAGGATATTAAAATTTAAAAAAAAATTACTGTTCCACTTACCAAGAAATATCTGATTGTGAGATTAGATTTCTTAATGTGTTTAGTGGAAAACATGATTAAGATTTCAGAGGATGAATTAATTATGCAACTTTTTAACATATTATGTAGTATTGATGTCTTTGCTGCAATGTTATTGCAAAATATATTTTACTGTTAATAAGTGAAATATAATTTCAAGTTGAGTTCAATACTCGGGCATTATTTGCCCATATATTATTGTGGAGTTTTGTTCTATTCTGATGTAACTGCACACCTAATTGCACTTAATTTAAAAGTGGACCAAAAAGTAAGACACTTTTTTTCTTTTTTTTTAGTAGTGAGTTAAATATGTGTCAGCCTTAAATCTAAGGATGGATCTCCATTTAAATTCTTATGTCTATGCTTACACATTTTGTGGCTAGAACAGCACAAACCATCCAGAATATTTTTTTAAACTAAGATTAAGAAGATTTGTGTGTGGTTTTCTCTGTTTTACTCAATTAAAGCTAATTCAGCTGCTTCCCTACACAATTTCCCATGCCCTGTCTGTCTGTGCCCTCTTGACTCTCTGTACTTGACTGAAGCCATTGGAGTTTGATACACACATATATGTGGACACACACGTTTACATATGTCTATATGCCAAACTGGCTGTTCCTTAGTGTACTTATATTCCCATTTACACCTCTAAAGGAAAGTGTTTCTCTGCCCTTCGGACCAAGTTACAATCCTTGTAGCATATATCAGTTTTCCAACTTTTCTGCCCTGGCTTTTCTTCATAGAAACATGTCCTTCTTAATTACCAGAACCCCAGTGTAACAAAGTAATATGAGCTTTCAAGGACTTGATAATAATCCATCAGAATTGGCATCCACATCTTTAACCACAAACACTCTCAGTTCTCAATTATAACCATAATTAAAAACAATTTATTAAAGCATTAAAAATTCCTGCATATAAATATTCTGTAATTTTTATCTAAATGAAAGTTTTAGAAATTTCTATTATTTTCATAGAGACAGAGAAACCATGATTAGTACTTGGGTAGCAATAATGTACGTTATTTTCTTTTCTAATAATATGGTTTAATTTTGCTCTAAGTGAAAAATTCATTGTTTTCTTAAAATGCAGCTGAATTTTTTATCCTTCAGCATACATATGCATACAGTGATTTAAATTACAGGATATTAAAAGTGGCCATGTGTCTAAAACTTGTATTTTACTAAGAAAATTACTTTTACCTTTGATACATCTCTATCCTACTTGATCCAAATTACAGATGTCATGAGTAAATTATATTCTTCACCTTCACTGCAATTACTTAGTGAGGTACAATTATTTAGTTGGTATTTGAAGACAGTTGTATTGCACAAAGAGTAATTAGCTATGTTTCCCTTTGAGTATATATTAATCAAAATATAATGTAATTATCCAGAACTGTAATAAACATGTAACAACTACATAAATAAGTAAAATCATGGTGCTTTAAGGAGGTCAGCAGAGTGATGATACCTATAAATTATTATAATTCATATTTCATGAACCAAACCCTCTGGGTTAATTATAAAAAATTATTGTAAAATATGCTAAATTCACATGCAATTTTTAATTTTTTTTTTACACTGATGCAAATCTTATTTACAGACTCATCTCTCAAGTACATTTATTTATTTCTAAAATATATTTATTTATTTTATTTCCTAGGTTATTCAGATAAATTTTGAAGAATTTGATCTGGAGATTGGTTATGACACACTGACAATTGGAGATGGAGGAGAAGTGGGTGATCCTAAAACTGTGCTTCAAGTGTAAGTCTTTTTCATTTACAACTTTTATGCATTGAAAAGTGTCCTTAGTGTGTTTTTGGTGAAACTAAATAATTATTAGAATCAGGTAAATAACAAAAAACTAATCTTATTTAGCTTCTAAAATTACTGAAGGTGACAGTTTAAATACACTGTTGCATGATTACTGCTCTGAATTCAGAAACAGGTAAGCTAGACATCACAAAAGAAAAAGATAAGATATAATTAGAAAATTTTAAAATACATAGTCTGGACATTCCTGTGTAGATGTAAATTTTAAGTGCTATTATGCCACCTTTATAAGCGTGTTCTCAAATTGAAAGTGTGTAAGGAGATAACTGAAAATACATAAATATACAACTTATCCACAGACTTTTACAATCTCCTAGCAAGGTTAGCATGACAAAAGATATGTTATAGGATATTGACCTTTAAGTGCTTATTGACTATTATAGATAACTCAAAAAAGCAAGTTAATATAGTGATGTATTGTTGTCTGTCATTTTATATAGCTCCTGTTCTGTTCTGAATAAATCATTCAATATTTTCTAGGAGAAATGAATGCCCCTTAAAATACATTGTAGTTATTTTTTTTCCAATCTGAATCAATTTTATCAGCAAAAAAAATCTAAACCAAAAATGGGATTTATTGCTTAGGAACCATATTTTGCTTACAAGGGATTGTCTAATATTTAGAAAATATTTTATTTAAAGGCTAAATAATATTTAGTTGTTATTTTTAAATAAACTGACCTCCAGCAAGTACCTCATGTTACCATTAGTTCAAATGAGTTAGAAATTGAAACATGGATACGAACAGAAGGAAATGTGATAAAAGTTTAGTACAAAATATATTTAATTATAAAAGAATAGCAAAATTAAGATTCCTAAGAATTATATTCACTACAGTAAATTTCATGGAAATGCGTTAAAACAACTTTGTATGTTGCAGTTTTCCATTATTCACCATTAGAATTATATTAAGAATTAGTTGGTTTAAGTACCCTGAAACCAAGGTTTACCTTTTTTTCTGTCCTAATTTCACCTCATTACTATCAGTAATTGCAAAACTTTGAACAGAACATACAGCTTTTTCAGGATTTACAGATTTTTATCGTGAATTCCCCCTCAGATATGTCATTCAGAAGATAGATTATCTGACCTTCTATTTTTGACTGGTTTTGTAATCATTCTATCCTTCTGTTCCCTTCTATTTTGGTTTATATATTTATCAGTGGTCAGGACAAGGGGTTTGAGTGCACCCTCAGTCAGTTTGCAGACAACACCAAGTTGGTCAAGTGTCTTGATCTGCTGGAGGTTAAACCAAGAGGTGAAGCTCATGGTCTGTAGTTCTCTGGATCTTCCTTTCTCTCCTTTTTCAAAATGGGAGTGGTTTCCCTCTGTGCAGTAACCAGGGACTTCAGCTGACTGCTATGACTTTTCAAATATGAGGGAGAGGGACCTGGCAACAACATCAGCCAGTTCCCCCCAGGATTTTGGGATGCATGTCTTCAGACCCCATAGACTTTTGGCTTTTCATTTTTGTCAAATGGTCTCAAAACTGCTCTTTGCTTACAGTGGGAGGGAGGGACCTTCTCCCCCAACTCACACCTAGAGGATAGGGGAAAGAAATGTGTCACAGAACTCATTCAGTACCTCAGCCTTTTCTATATCCAGTGTCACCAGTTCTCCCTTCTCTTTTATTAAGGGGGTTACCCTCTCCTTGGCCTTTTTTTCCTGACCAATGTCAGAAGCATTCATTGAACATTGTTCCAATGTCAAACCATGGAAGAAGTTGCCCAGGGAAGTGGTGGAGTCACCATCCCTGGAGGTGTTTAGAAGATGTGTTGTTTAATTACATGGTTTAGTGGTAGACTTGGCAGTGTTGGGTCAACAGTCATACTTGACAATCTTAAAGGTCTTTTCCTACATAAATATCTGATTCTTACCAATGAGAAGACCAGGATTTGCACAAGTATTTCAGGTGCAATTGCTTCAGGATAATGCAAAGTGTCTTCAGTGGATTGTAGCTGTGTTAATCTCTTCTAATAATAAATCTGAGGACTGGGGAAATACTCTAATTTTTATTTTATAGGTAGTACCAGTCATTAAAAACATATTTCTGATAATGCTGAAATTCAATTTTGGCTATTCTTAGATTCCTAAACTATATGGAATATTCTCTCATGTAGAAAGAACCTTTATTAAGTACAAATTCACCAGGTCTCATTAAAATTTAACTAAAGTATTATTACTGAATTACAGTATGCACTGAGGCACAGAAAAATAATATTTTAAATTTGGGGAAATGTGGTAAAACAGTCTGTCCAGTTTGTAATTCACTGAACATGTTAGTATTTTATAAAGGTATTTCTGATGACAACACTTCGTTGAGGAGAAATGATAAACATAGAGTATTAAACTTGTCACAAATGTAAAGGAATTCTGAAAAATTTTCTTTAATAAAAAAGTTAATTAGAATTTTCAAGTGTTAACATATGATAATTTGTTTTGTAAATAACTAGGTAAATAATTTTAAAGAATTGTTACTATGGTGATCCTGGAAAAGCAACAAAGAAGTATCCCATTAATTGATGGGGTTTTAATATTATCAACACTGTATAATCAAAATATATATAGATAAATCACAAGTATATTATTTTTGTTTACCAGTGGAATGATTTTTCTGTGATCAGAAGTATCGATGGTGAAGTTATTAGGATTAAAATGCATAAAAACCTTACAAGGAAGATGGAACATCATTGAGTACTGTAAAAAGCATGCAAATCTTTTCTCCTGTGAGCCATGCAGACTTTGTCTGAGATATGATGCATAGCAAATACATCAGCTGTTGTATCATTTAATTTTTGGATTTTAAATTTTAAAATAATTATCTTTCCTTCAGAAAATTGCTGAAGAATATTGGTTTGAATATGTCTGGTTTACATGTTAATAATGTGAAAACATTTATCTTCTGATTTATCAGTTAATCAGGGAACCTATCCAAGTGCTTAATCCTCTAGTTTTACTGGGCACTGCTTGATAGGAAGGTTGAGAACCAAAAACTGAAGTTAAGTGGCATTTCAATAGAATTATGCTTTCTAAATTGATAATTGCAGTCCTGATTATTCTTACTCTGCGGATGTTAATCACAGAAGTAGCTAAACTGCAAAGCTTTTTCAGTACTTGACATTAAGTTTCCCCGGTGCCTACAGCTCTGAGCCTATGTATACATGGACCCAGCAACGTGAGTTTGCTCCAGCCTAGGGTGAGCCTGGCACCCAAGTGAACTTAAACCTGAAAGCTACAATTTTTTTGGTCTGTTTGATAAGATGACTAATATGAAGGCATATGCTAAGTGTTATTACCAAGGGATAGAAGGGAAGAAGGAAAAGAAACGGTGGATCCTCTTTCATACATCAGTCCCAGCACTCTTTCAGGCTGTTTGGGAGTTTGCTTTCAGCAGGTGGTCTGACAGTTGCTGCGGGTGACTTTTAAACGCAGTGTGCATTTGGGCACGGATCCCTGTAACACACATTCAGAAAATCCAGTGCACAAGGCATGAAACCCATTCTTAATCTTTTTTGTATGCTTGCTGTGTTGGCTGTGAGTGCACTCAATCTCCCATATTACAGACTGTCTTCTAAAATTGGAGAGTATTGGAATCTTCTGAATATCCTCTAATCCAGCCTTCAGGGTACTCTCTCAAGGGGAGAATGTATGTCACTAGTATATGGGAGGGGTAGTTCTGGAGTCGTAGAGGAAGAGGTGGAAAACACCCTGCTGAGTATTGTAACTGTTAGGCTTTTTAATAAAAAGAGGGACTTCATTATCACATACTTCCATTTCTACTGCTGACAGTGTTCACTGTTCATCTTTTGAAAGGGAAGATGTAAGAACTTGCTTCCAGGAGAGGAATCTAGGTACTGAATCCAGGGTAGAGGAAGCCACATGAATCCGCAGAAAGAAAGAAAGAATAATTCAAAATTTAAGAAATGTGTTATTATCTTAAATTTCATTTTTTCTGATTCTCATTACTCTGTGGCCCCTTCCCAACTGTCTTACAGGGATCCTGAAGGACTTAAAATAGAGCAACAAGTGATTTATGTGTTTTATTGATTTATTCCTTTTTTTAAAATGCATTTTCAAATTATTTTTTCCTCATGTACTGTTTAATTGGAAAGTATTGTTTGTCAAAACTATGGATTTAAAAAGTGTATTTACAATTCATTTCAGAAAAGGGAAATGCTAAAAATTTTGATGGGTGTTTATCATAGGAATTATTTTGTCTGACACAACAGAGAGATAAATATTCTCAATGGCCCTGATATTCAAAAAATATACTGTCAGTCACCAGTTACAATTACAAAACACTGTTAGCCATTACATCAGTGTTGTTTCTGAGGAACATCCTGTTAATCTACTAATTTGGCAAAGACTGAACTCACTGAAGACACTTTCCCTTAGTGCAGGAATGAGCAGTTAATACATTTTGGCCAGGCATTTACGTTTTCAGTTCTGGCAAGAGGCTTTGTAGTAGCTCCATCTGTGAACACAGATGTGGGAAACAGACATGAATTTCTCCCACAGTAGAGTATTTCATACAGAAATAAGCTGAAAAAGACCAGAGGGGAGAACTAAAATTAACTGCAAAATATATTTAAAATAGTCCATTTGAAGTTTCTACTATCTTTAAAAAATGGTTAGAACTGTGAAAAAAATGAACTAACAGTTTGCACTCTTATAAAGTCTTGTGCTTATGATCCATTTTACAGGAATGGAAAATGGTTTGGAACTTTTTAGCATTCTGTTTCGGATGATAAACTCTTACCAAATTTGAGACAAAGTTTTGGGAAAAAAATGTAATATGACATAAAACTACATCTTTCCCAGCATTTTCTTTTTGCTATCATACTATTTCATTCAGCAAACAGAATCAATATTTAGGGTTGCATTGACTTGCAAATTTTTGCAAACAATATGAAAAGTGAAAAAAATTAAAAAAGAAAATTCAAGTTTAGTTCTTTCTGATTAATCACCATCCTCAAACATTAGAAGGTTTTAAAGTTGTGACATTTGTTATTTTTCTTAATGAAGGAGTAGACAGCAGGCTGTTTGTCCATTGTTGTGATAAAGGTGATGGAGGGAGGAGAGAGAGTGCAAGGAACACATGGACCATCATAATAGTGTTGATATTTAAGAGCAGCAGCTTCCTTTTAAACATGCAAGCCATGTATTCCAAAGTGGGTAGTTGTATGCTAGAGAAATCAAAGAATCGGTGTAATGCCTCATTATGGGCTTCCAGTTCCAGTGCCTTTGATATGCCTGCACATACTCGAGTCACGCACGCAGGACTGCCAGATAAGGTTCAGGATCAGGGAAGTTACATGTCCTTCTGGACCAACAACTGAAACTGACATGAAATACTTCAACACAAGATGAGCAGTAGTTACATGTGTTTATAGGCTGCTATCAAATCTGCAGTCATTGGAAACTCGAGAGCTGTCTTGGCTAGCCAGCTGGTAGATAACTAAATCAGTGTGAGATGAATGCGATGAATTTATAAACAAACACAAAAAATGCTAAATAGTTATTTAGATTCCTCAGAAAAAAAAAAAAGAAAAAATCCAGTTACCTAAATGGTTTTACAGATTCTTTTTTTCTATCTATAGGTTAACTGGGAGCTTTGTACCAGACTTAATTGTGAGCATGAGTAATCAGATGTGGTTGCACCTTCAAACGGATGAAAGTGTGGGATCAATTGGTTTCAAGGTTAACTACAAAGGTAACGATACCTCACTGGAAGCACATGTAATGGTGTACCAAAAATTAAGCCAATATTATGAAATGTTTTTCTTTCATACTAGTGGATGAATTCTATTTCCAGTTCTTTCAGTTTTAGAAACAGGAAAATGCAAGCTGAATTGAAAAAAAAAAAAAAATAGAAAAAAGTTAATTTTTTTTCTTTTAAAGGTCTTCTGTCACACGAAACTGCACAGTTTTTATTTGGTCTGTTCTTACAGCAGTTGGATTTTGGCATATAGTTTTACCTTTATTTTCTGTTCTTTAATATTGAAAAATATTAAAATGAAATAATTCTGTGATTATTTAAAGGTAAAAATATGTAAAACAAATGAATACTGCCAACATTCTTTTGAAAATTAACTATGTCTATCACAATAGAAGAAAACTCCACCACACTGCAAGTGAAGAATTCAAATTTCTGCTGAGCCCGAGCCAAGACAAAGAAAAACTTACCTAATAATGTTCTTTATGGTCTTCAAGTGCATAATGCACAATATAAAACAGCTGTTGCTATTTTACATTTCTGGGTGGACATGCACTTTTTATAGAGCATGAACAGCAAAGTCAACTAAAGGCTAAAGTACAACATATACATACATATATATGCAGTTCTATATTATTACAGAATCGGTTATGTTTATTATTTTTATACTACATTTAACCTAGCTACATGAATTCTTACAAGAATTTTTATAATTGCATGGTTTCTGCCTACCACCCAAACCAAATAGAAAATGTGATTATTCACCAAAAGTATTCATCAGAAAGGGAGAAAGACAAAAGTTAAAGCAGTGTGTATGTTAGAAATGGAGCTGATGTTGCTGAGGATGGGCAAATGGAGTGAATAAGCATATTGAGAGTAAACCTGAACAATGTGACTTGCTGGCCTTTTTTCTGTCCATAACTTTCCTTTGGCTTTCCTTGTCTATTAAACTCCATAGTGGTATGGCATGAGTGCACTTCTCCACTCTTGTTATTCAGATCTTGTAGTCTAAGACAGAAAGATCTTAGTACTTTGTTGTATGGTGGCCATTAAGAATCGGGATTTCCACATTCCAACTATTGAAAGGGGCAAGGAAAATGATTAGTATAAACAAGTTTAAGAATTTGTTAATATAGCAAAACTGGAAACATAGCCGAGCAGAAAAGGAAGTGTTTTAGATCTGAACTCTAAATAATTTGCATAGCTTAAGTTGTTGATTCTATTATTTACAGGATTCTTTTCTGGTATAATTAATTTTGCTTGCAACAATTTTTGTTTGCAGATGGCAGAGGATTATTGTCTATTCTTATAATGTACTGCTATGTCTTGTTTTATTCACGAGTTACCTTTATTCTTAGGAGCTATAGTTTTGCAAGAATAAAATTAATTGAATATGAATAGGTAGAAGGATGCCGAAAGGGTGAACATTCACAACATCTCCATGTAATCAACTTTGTGACTGCATGCCTCGATATTGAGTCTGTATTTCTTTCTTGCCTTACAGTGGTAATTTACACTAGTTCACTAAGTAGCACTTGAATGCATCAAGCATTCCATGGGATAGGTACTGTTTGGTGGGGTTGTTTTGATTAGTTTTTGTTTGTTTGTTTGTTTGTTTGTTTGTTTGTTTGTTTTTTGCTTTGGTTTGATTTTATTTTGTGGGTTCCCCCTCCTTCCCAATCCAGAATATAGGGTAATTTTTTTTATGTAAGTTGCCTTCACTTAGATCCCTGAGAGGATGTACTTATTAGAGAAATATTGGGCAATGTTCATAAAAGAAAATGAGAAGAGTGGCAAGGGACAGTTAGGTTTGAAGGCTTGCTATTTCTATTGTTGTTGGTTTTCCTTTGTGTTTAAGTTCTTTCTGGTAATGATGGTAGGCTCTGAAAACATGTAAATGGATAGTATTTTGGATGTTCTGAAATTTCAGGTTTGGAATTTATGAATTGGAAGTTGAGAGAAAGTCCAGTGAGGTAAACTCAGTATTGACGTTAGAACTATGTATTCAGGGCTATGACAGAACTCTGAATTCTTTAATAGAATCAAAGAATTGCAAAGAATTTTCTCCTTTCAAAGACTTTTCAGAATTACTTGAAAGAATTATGATTTCTAGGAGTCAGGGTCAAATGACATTTTAGTTTAATTGATTTAATGAATTATTAATTATTTATTTTGTGAAATATGCCCAATTACCAAGTACGCCCAATTTGCTTGTACATCTCTTGATGTACAAAATCAAATTCTATTCTGTTAACTTGTCCCACTTCACAAATTTCACTATCCAGTGAGACACCTAATTATGGCTGATTGTGTATCTATTTATGTCTTACGTGTTTAGGTCTTGTAATTTTCTGCTTACATCAAAGGTACAATTAAATTAGCTTTTTAGATTAGATTCAGTACTCTGATTTTTCACCAGAATCTTCGTCTGATCATTCCCACTGTCCTTGTTTTAGTTTCCATCACGGAGCGATCTTGAAAGGCACAAATTAAACTCGTTTGAGGTAATTCAGAATGTGCAATTTAATAGCATCCAACTTCTAATGGGCATTTATCAGGACCTTGTAAAGCTTTTCCAAAGTAAAACCACTAAAACATAATTAAATGCTTGTAGATAGTATGGATACTGTATCTTTTATTATTTCAATGTACAGACCTGCTTATGTTGGACTTAATTACTTGATATTGTACTTGATAACAGTACCTACTAACAGCTAAACTAATCTACCACTAAATGGTTTTGATGCCTAAATATCTGCTTTAGTGCTTCTGAGACTCAGCTAACTAGAGGTAGTGGAGATGTATGTGCCTCATTTCATCAAAATTCACAAAGACATTCTTCAGTCTAATTGACATTTAGTTCTGAGTCTGGCAGACATTTTTAAAAATATAGATTGTTCCAAGTCCTACATGGAATAGGAGTATGAAGTAAAGGTCATTACCCAGTGCCCCCCAAAATGGTATACTCGCTCAAGGTGTAAGATAGAAGCTCACCTCCTTTCTGACTGGGACAGAATTGAATATGCTGTACCATTTTTAATTTTAGCAATAGACAAGTAAAATTTTTAATACCTCTGCATTTATCAGTTTTCAGCTGAGGAATTCATTTAAATTTATGTTATTACAAGGAACTAACATTTTGTTCTCTTTTACATATCTACCATTTGAGACAATCTAGTAAGTTTCTGTGAAATAATAAAATTATTTGTCTACTACATTAAGATGTTGCATATGGAGTTATTTTATGTTTTTAATAGCTAGATCCCATTGTAATTATTTAAATATGAAAGATAGACATTAGTATTGGAGATAATATTTTAAAGTAAATAAGTTTTCATTGCTATTGTTTTGAAATTCCTTTTCCAGTATCTCATCGAATAAAGCTAATTAGGAAGGTAGAATAATGAATATCAGGATTGGGTAGGACAGAAATAAAAGCACTGCCTTACTAGAGATGTATTTTACCTGTTATCTCATTTGTATAAGCTGGCTTTGATTATTTATTTGTTTTTTTGTTTGTTTGTTTTTACAGGTCAAACGTATATGTAGCTTTATTAAGTAAAAGCATGGAATATTTGGAAACCTGAAATTTTAAGTGGCCTATTTTCAAATCATAATTTTGTGGATTTTTTTTATTTACTGTTGACAAGTTGCATGAATACTTGGGTAATTTAATATTTCAGGAAATGATGCCATATTGTCACAGTAGCACTTCTATTTCCAAAGCCATGGTGAAGAGGAAAGAAATACTTATCTAAACAATAGTAGAGAAACAATCTCCAATACATTCAAACACTAGAAGTGAATGGTCTTCATATACAACTGAATAACAAAGAGCTGCACAAAATACAAGACAAACAAATAGAACCATGGCATAGCCTTCAAAGACTAGAAACACAATTTTGTGAAATAAGATTTTGGAGAATTGTGAATTTATTTAAATTCACCAAAACATTTGAGAATTTAACTATGGAATAGTACAGTTCTTGGAAAACTATATGTGAGAATTTGAAATGCTATAACTTTCATATACACTAGCTTCTTTTTGTAACTTTGGAAGTATGAGCAAGATTAAATTAAAAATATTCTTTATATACTTTTTCAAAAAAACCTGTATGACAGAATTTGTGGAATTAAAGAATAATGTAAATAATCATAATGTAAATTAATAGGAAAAGAAAAGTATTTTAAGAAATTAAATCAGTAATGTAAACACAGTACAAAACTATTCTGTATTAGGACCACGTGGGAAAGCTGAACTCCTGTTTAGGTCAGATTTGAGTTCTCTGAAACAGAGGAAACTATCCTCAGGGCAGTCTAGTTCTGTTGGGTCCTGATATCAAACCCTCTGTTTCTGAGCTGTGGCCAAGTCTGAGGGAATTTTTTTTTGTGTGTGGTGTCTGTTTTATTTTTCCCTAAATAACTGCCTACATGCTCTTTAAGACCTCTTAAATCAGTAGGTTCTTCTGATAGTTCTGCCTTCTATTAGAACAAAATCTGTATAATAATACATCAGACATACTCTAATCTAATTGCATAAGAAAATAAAGTTGAAGAAGGTTACATTGACTGGAGTGTAATGATAAGTTGTAGAAGGGGATTGTTTAAGATGCCAAGTTAGATAGGAGTGTAGGTAAAAAGTGAATTTAAAGCAAAGTAGACTTGCTTATTCAATTTTCTGCATCGATGATCTAATTTTAGGATATGGGATTTACACTCAGACACCCAGTATTTCAAAAGATTTCTTTTTGCTTAAAGCATGACTTTCATCTTGCTTCAACCACTGTGGCAGCCTGGGGTAGCCTTCTGGAGTTCGTGATCCGCATTTTCATCCTATTTTCCTTGCAGAAAGCACTGAGTTGCAGACACATCTGAGGTTTTTTTGTCCCAGATGGCACAGAGATATTTTTCCATGACTAACTGCTCAACAACCTTTTCTTTTTTACTGATGTTAAAATACTGAATGATCTGAATTAGGCAGATAGTTTAATTCATTG